TATATAAAAAATTACAAGCAAATGAATCTCAAGGAATACACTAAATAATTATACTTTAGCCACTGTTAAAGGACCACTATTAAATTTTCTGATTGGGGCAATACTGCCAATCTGGAAAGCTATGCATTGTACTGGTGAGAACTATTTGATCAACAAAGTTATAAACAAAAACTGTGTTATTGATATCATGAGAGTGCTAATTTTCAATCACATGATTCACAGTTCTGCATTTCTTTAATTCACAAAATATTTGTTACTTCCTTTACCAGATTATAAAATCTAACATTTTTTTGTGGAGACATTTTTGTCTGGAATTAAAGTTGAAAATCTTGTCATTGTGTTGTAAATGACAAATTTAATAGCCTTCTAATTCTGTTATTGACCAATTATAAGAGCAACTTGTATAAAAACAGCATCCTCTTTTTGCCCTAAAGATATAAAAGCTGAAATTATACTATAAAAAGGGGACTTCATTCTGGCTTAGCCTAATTTAACTGCTCTTGAGGGAAGTTGCTCTTTGTCACAATCTGATTGGCTGTAAAGGAGGCTAATCAACATTTAACTCTGTGATCACATAATCAGCAAGCAGGTGCAAGGTTTTTCACATTTAATTTGATACAGATAAATCAAAAGGATCCACCTTGACATCATGGCTATATAATCCTCAATTTGGATCCAGTGAGCCAAGGACAATGTGTCCACATATCCTCAAGTTTTGGAAACACATACAAAATTTCAAGTGAATAATAATTGTCTGCATTATATGTAATGGATAAACAAGCATGCCAAAGGGGTCAACATATGGGGGACATAGGGCCAAGCATGATAAGGAAACCAGTATCTCATATTCAAAGTGAAAAACTGAAATGTCATACATAATACATGGGATTTTGACATTTTAGCCCAGCTAATGCAATTTAAATCTGCCCCCTGAGGAAACAATCCCACATGCTTACTAAAATAGTCACACATGCTGACTGAAATAGTCACACATGCTGACTGAAATAGTCACACATGCTTACTGAAATAGTTACACATGCTGACTGAAAAAGTCACACATGCTGACTGAAATGGTCACACATTCTGACTGAAGGTCACACATGCTGACTCAAATAGCCACACATGCTGACTGAAATAGTCACACATGCTGACTGAAATAGTCACACATGCTGACTGAAAAAGTCACACATGCTGACTGAAATGGTCACACATTCTGACTGAAAGTCACAAATGCTGACTGAAAAAGTCACACATGCTGACTCAAATAGCCCTGCTACACATGCTGACTAAAGGTCACACATGCTGACTCAAATAGCCACACATGCTGACTGAAATAGTCACACATGCTGACTGAAATATTCACATATGCTGACTGAAATAGTTACACATGCTGACTGAAATAATTAAACATGCTGACTGAAATAGTTAAACATGCTGACTGAGATAGTTAAACATGCTGACTGAATAATTCACATATGCTGACTCAAATAGCAATACATGCTGACTGAAATAGTCACACATGCTGACTGAAATAGTCATATGCTGACTGAAAAATTCACATATGCTGATTTAAATAGTCACACATGCTGACTGAACCTCCAACCACAAAATAATCTTAGTGCAAATGATGCACGAAAGACTTGGACCAGATTGCAGTTGATTAAATTATGATCTTTTCACAAACTAATTGTCATTTAATGATGCATGTTCATGCAGTGAACAAATAACTGCAAAACATTTTTTCACTCACTGTACAAAATATCTTGCCATCAGTAATTGAACAAAAGAATGTAATTACAACAAAGAGATTTCTTGAGTCTTCACACTAAGCTGTTATGGGTGTTAGCAATCTTCAGCCTTAGCAACTTTATGCCCAAATTAATTAGCACACAATAGATGTTAATCATTAATTAGGACTTTAAAAGAAGCTCAAGCTTCTTACTCAGTCAGCTATATCTTTTGTTAAATGTACTTTCCATGAGGACTTCTGCAAATAAATATGCAAATACAGCCTCTAACACATAATTGCTCAAGTCACCAAGCCATAAATATTCCAAGCTCTGTCAAACTGCAAACAATAAAGATCCTGATCGGCCCTAGCATGATGCACCTGTAAATCAGGGTCTATGTTGTTTGCTCTATTAATTACTCTTAACAAACTGCAATGACCCAGATCTGTCAGCACACTGTGCAAATAACAGATCTTAGTCATTGTAGAAGTTTGCAGTTTGATTCAACTTATAAATGAGTATATATGGTATTTGTTAAGTTACCCTATCTCTGGTCATGAAAGCAGTGGTCCAGTTGGATGGTGGTCCATTTATATCCAACAGGATGATTTAATTATTATGAACATACATTCTAATGCAACTTTTTATGGTTTTCTGGGATTTAATAACATTTCTTAGCACATGATAGACCATAAATGTCAGCCAGGATATTTGAACACCGGAAAATCCCCAGAAAGAACAAATGACCTACATGAAGCTATTGGAATGCTTTCTCACTTACATATGTTGGCAGAGCCAAGACTCAAACCCATGCAGAGGTGAGATGCCAGTGATCTGTAAAGACAACATCTTAAACAACTGGTCCAATACAAACACGGAGGGATGATATATACTAAATTAACATGTGCAACTAAAATTTAAGTCAAACTGTGCCATTACATACTAGAGTAGCATGGTCAACTAACATTCAAATAATACTATGCCCTTACTTACCAGAGTAGCATGGGCAACTAAAATTCAAGTACTACTGTTTTCTTACTTACTAGAGTAGCATAGGCAACTAAAATTCAAGTAATACTGTTCCCTTACTTACTAGAGTAGCATGGGCAACTAAAATTCAAGTAATACTGTTCCCTTACTTACTAGAGTAGCATGGGCAACTAAAATTCAAGTACTACTGTTCCTTTATATACTAGAATAGCATGGGCAACTAAAATTTAAGTAATCCTGAGCCCTTATTTTTTAGAGTAGCATAAGCAATTCAAATTTAAGTACATGTAATATTAAGCCCTTACATACTAGAGTAGCATGGGAAACTATTTAAGTAATACTGAGCCCTTTTGTGTGTGTGTGTGTGTGTGTGTGTGTGTATGTGTGTGTGTGTGCATGTGAGAGAGAGAGAGAGAGAGAGAGAGAGAGAGAGAGAGAGAGAGAGAGAGAGAGAGAGAGAGAGAGAGAGAGAGAGAGAGAGAGAGAGAGAGAGAGAGAGAGAGAGAGAGAGAGAGAGAAAGAGAAAGAGAAAGAGAAATTTGGATTCTTAATGTAGCTTTAACAATTTTTCAGTCATATCGCTATGACATCTGCAGTTTGGCAGTTTATAGTGATGCCTAGCACTGAGGCATCATGCCACAGACATGGAGTATTATGTCCCATCCAGTCACATTATCCTGACACCTGGCCAACCAGTTCTAACAATAACCTCTTAATGCTGAGCACCAAGTGAGGCAGCTGTTAGTGCAATTTTTGTAAGTCTTTGGTATGACTCTGCAGGGAATCAAACCAACTACCTCCCACATCTGAGGCAGACACTAACCACTAGGCCACCGGAGCGGTCTCACACTACAGTAGCAGGGGCAACTAATATTTAAGTAACATTGACATCATTTAGTTGCAAAAATCAAACTGGCCTGATCATGTAAGAATTAATAATTAATAATTAGTAATTAATAGTTAATAATTATATCTGTATTTAATACTCCTTAAATGTATATTTAAACTGTTACTTCTTAGCATTTAAATAATAAAATTAAAAATGGTATGTGGCATTAAAGAACATCAAAATAACAAATAGAACTACATATATAATTATTCAATCGACATAATAGATGTGACTCACTGTGATTCTAGAACTACATATAGAATAATTCAATCTATATATGTGACTCACTGTGATTCTAGAACTACATATAGAATTATTCAATCTACATAATAGATGTGAATCACTGTGATTTTAGAACTGCATATAGAATTATGGAATCTACATAACTGATGTACCTGCCCATGGTTTTTAGGACATTGCATAGATTAAATAGTAGGTGTGCTGTCTATGATTCTACCAATAATATCCTTCCACTTGTCAGGATATTTTTCAATTTTAGTTTAAAGGAAGATGTGATTTTATGTTAGTACTAAACTGTTGACAATGTTTGGTCTGTTCATACATTTAGAAGAAGAAAAAAAAAGCCATCTCAATCAGAGATACAGACTTCTTTAAAATTCTTGGACTTATCAATAGGTCCCTCCATCTCAACTTTTTCTAGTCTTCTGTAAACTTTGCAAAACTTTAAGTTTCATAAACTAGAAAAATCATGGTCCAAATTGTTGTGGACTGAAAAGGCCTAGATGTTATCAATACAGTGCTGTACCTTAATTTGGTATCACTGGAATCTTGAAATACTGGTGAAAAGTCAGAATACACACAGAATGTGTTGGAGTACATGGTGGATAATGTGTGCTTAGTACATTATGTCTTGATGACTGAGTAATCTGTTTGACATTTACCATTCATTGACCTTTGCTAGACTGGGACCTTTTGGGCTTGGATGATTACCCTGTTATCAACAATTAGAATAGATAGACTGTAACTGACAACAGTTAATACAAACATCACAAAATCATCTTCCCATTAATTAAATCCATGATGATAAACAGAGATGTTGTCATCATCCCTTGAAATGTGGAGTAAAAAGGATCATTGAAATTATGGTCTAGCTTACAATGGAAACATTTTCAAATTATTTTCCATGTTTAAAAAAAGTGTGATGTTTGTGATTTAGATTTTTAACGTATCTTTAAAAAAATTTCAGTCATGTCACTACAATGTCTGCAGTGAGAGTTAATAGTGATATCTAGCACTAGGGCATCATGCTGCTGACATGTTGCATGATGTCCCCACCCAGTCACATTATCACTAGGCCGACTTTTCCTAACCTCTTAATGCTGAGTACCAAGCGAGGCAGCTGTTAGTACCATTTTTGTAAGTTTTTAGTATGACTCAGCCAGGGGTTTGAACCCATAAGCTTCTGCATCTGAGGCAAATGCTCTAACCACTAGGCCACTGGAGTGGTCGATTCAAAACAAGGAAAAAAAACAGTTACTAAAAATTCACAATCATATTTAATGTAAAAAACATAAAATATCTTCAAATTTGGCAAGAAAATTTAAATTTAATATCTTTTTCAAAGTTAAGACTAAAAAGCAATGAAGTAAGCTTTTGTTAATAGGGAGCCATTGTAACTCAGTTGGTAAAGTGTTGGATTCATAATCCAAGGGTCATGGGTTCAATAAGCAACAAAGTCAGTTTGAGTCAGTCTTCCATTCTTGGCATGATAAAGTCAACAAAGTGTTTACAATGCCAAAACAAATGGACCAATAATACATTATTAGTTATGACATTTTATGTTTCAAATAAGTATGTGAAAATTCATAAAAACTTAAACTTCCATATGTACTCACTTAAAAGTCAATTCCAACTGCAAACAATATAGACTCTGACCCACCATCACATAATGATGTGGAATATCAGGGTCTATGTTGTTTTTGTATTATTATTCCTAAAGTGATGTTACGCATATGTAATTTAATTATATGTGTAAGTTTTACATTTTTAAAAAATTTTGTTTCATTACATTTTATTGTAATGTTAGTTTTCACAGGATTTGATTTTTCTGGACAATTCAGTCTTCTGTTTTGATCTGATTAAAACCAAATTATTACTTTATCACTAGATTAACCTGATAGGTAATTCTTTCTACTCCAAGAAAAACATGCCATAATTCATATTATGGTAGCTTTTGTCATCAAGAGCATGACAACAGGCTGTGGCCATGCAAGTGTATACATCAAACCTTAACTGCCAAAATTCCCATGAACTTCTACAGTAATTAAAATTCTTTGTGAAAACTCACAAAAGTGCAAGTTTGTTTTGTATTTTCAACAAATGCTCCTTGATGAAACTTTCTGAAAAAAATTTTAACAATTAAAAAAGTTAACTTGAAATTATATCAAAGATCAAAACAAAATGACTGATAATGAAATGTATATTTTTTATTAAGGATGTCAGTGAATAACTACAGTACAGTACAGTACAGCACAGCACAGCACAGCACAGCACAGCACAGCACAGCACAGCACAGCACAGCACAGCACAGTACAGTACAGTACAGTACAGTACAGTACAGTACAGTACAGTACAGTACAGTACAGTACAGTACAGTACAGTACAGTACAGTACAGTACAGTACATCTTAATGGCCTACTATGAGATTTGGTGAATTTCATAATCTGTACAAACCAGGAATTTATAGACCCAATACACATTGATTCTTTGGCAAAAACTATATGACTCCTTATCATATTTACTCTTGAATATATTTGATACAGGTGAAAATTTCATAGACCCAATTTCTAACCAGGAATATGGGACCATGTTTAGGGATTTTAATTCAGAATATGTAGCCAAAATTCCCAAATGTGATTCCATATCTCAATCGAAATTCCTAAATGTATTCTCAATTAATTTGGCCCGATATTCTGAACGTTTTCTGAGCACAAAAGAAACCCATCTGGATTAAGCTAAAAAAAGGGGTAAATTCTCTGTTTTAAATAAATAACAATCAAGCTAGCAGTCTGAACTTTCCATATCTTCCTACCTTATATACTCTCTCCTAAGAATGGTCCAACTATAAACTGCACAGACCCAGATCTGCTGTTGCATGATGCACCGGCATATCAAGGTCAGTGCAGCTTGTTAGAGTAATCAGTAGAACAAACAGCACAGACCCTGATCTACAGGCACATTATGCTAAGGTAATTGGGGTCTTTCTTGTTTGCAGTTTGACTCGTCATCTTGTAAGGGTGTAGATATGATAAGCACAATCTCTCTGATGGCATACAACATTTGGTTGATATAGATAAATATTAATCTGATAATTGGATGAGAATGATGAGAATGGAGAGAATAGAGACACTGGTTCCATGATTAGGCCAAAACAGGTTCATGTAATATGTTTTACATTTCCATAAGATCTGAGAATAGCTGCCAAGCCATTAAAAATCTGTTAAAAGAATAATGTGGTGATCATAGCATAATGTGGTGATCATAGCATAATGTGGCAATCATAGCATACTGTGGTGATCAATAGCATAATGTGATCATGTGGTGATCATAGCATAATGTGGTGATCATAGCATAATGTGGTGATCATAGCATAATGTGGTGATCAATAGCATAATGTGATCATATGGTGATCATAGCATAATGTGGTGATCATAGCATAATGTGGTGATCATAGCATAATGTGGCAATCATAGCATACTGTGGTGATCAATAGCATAATGTGATCATGTGGTGATCATAGCATAATGTGGTGCATAATGTGGTGATCATAGCATTATGTGGTGATCATAGACCATACATTCTTTAAATATGTAGGATCTTTCCTTTAGTAGTGAAACCAGAAATCAGTCCTTTACATAGAACTAAAGTATAATATAATCAATTGTCATTTTGGGGGCAATGTACAAATGCATTCATTTACCTGATTCACAGGTGGACAATTGCACCAAGAGACTATATCCTGTCTTTTCTGCAGGATTTGATGATTTATTTATAATTCTCAAAAACCCATTTGTGTTTTATGAATTTAACAGTGTTGTGCATACAGATACAATGCTAACTGTAGCATTTGCATACAATGCAAACATATTGCTAACTGTAGCATTTGCATACAATGCAAACATATTGCTAACTGTAGCATTTGCATACAATGCAAACATATTGCTAACTGTAGCATTTGCATACAATGCAAACATATTGCTAACTGTAGCATTTGCAACCATACACTAAATTCTTACATCAAGATTAGAAGAATAGACAAACAAGTATATAAGTTATATTAAAGAAGACTGATTCCTTGCATAGAACAAGTTAATTTTCAGGGAAAAGTCTCTTCCAGAGGAAAATCAAATAATTGGAATATTTAGCAGTGGAGACTTTTTTTCAACTTGGCATCCTTTAAGTGAGATCACAAAATTAAATCATGTCAAAATTTGCTACCTTGACTGTTCCCACCAATCCAAATTCATAACTGCCAAATTATAACTTGTTAAAATTATAATCCCATTTTTTTTTAAAAATGTTTAAATTTTAGAGCCATGAAATATATTCATTACATGGTATGAGAATAAGGTTTTACCACTTAAATATCATACTTTCACCTTCCAGTGAAGAGCAAAAGGGCAACAGACAAAATTTGTCTGGCTAACAATAGAAACAAAGTACAAATACATGTAGGGCACATGAAAAAGCAAATGTACACAAAATGGTATAATATATATAAGGTTCATATATATATATATATATATATATATATATATATATATATATATATATATATATATATATATATATATATATATATATATATGAACCAACAAGCTGCAGTTTTCAGTTTCAGAAGGGAAAATTTTCATGCAAAATTTGCAGACTTCATATGCTGAATATTTCACAAAAAGGAAACCTTATGTAAATCTGATTTAATATTTCATTTGGATTCAGCTGGTGTCCTTTCTCAAACAAATGAGTGCATCTCCAGATATAATTGCTGTCGCTGACATTTGAAAATTTGTCACCTACATGTTAGGGTAGAGTTTGACCCACTTTCATAGAAAAGTATGGCTTTATTAGGGCCACACCAGTCAATGAAAAAAATGTAAAAATAAAACCTACAATATTATTGACACTATTGTTGTGTTCTATATTTACTGGGATCAGATTTGTATGGTTTTATTTTTAATTCTTTCCAAATTTTTAATTTCTACTGCAGGTTTGAGTATGTCAAAATGAACTAGATGATGCTGCAGCCATGTATTCCAATCCCTGCCTTCAGTTGGAACCACCTAGTCTGACTCCTGAACCTAGATGAGCCATAAAATTAACATCTCATTATGTTTTGAATCGTTAAAAGATAATAAATAAATTTACTGTTTGAGTTAGTCTTGGACAAACTCCAGAATAATTGTCTAAAATGTCTTAACATGTTTTTATTAATTTTATTGCCTACAGCTTTATTTTGTTCACCCATGAGAACTTGTAACAAATGAACAGGCAAATGCAAAAAAGGAGAATAACTGACACCATGGCTACTTAAGGTCAATGGAACCAAGGTCACCGAGTTAGTAGATCATCTGACTTATAATGCAAGTGTTGTGGGTTCAATAGCTGCTCAGACCAGCCTGTGTTGGCTGCCTCGCTGTGTCTTTAGGAATAGCACTCTGCTCCCATTTCCTTAAATACTATAGCCAATAAAATAATGTGTGGGTGTGATTTAAATTTTTAATGTCGCTTTTAACAAATTTTCAGTCATAATACTATGATGTCTGCAGTGTGGCAGTTTATAGTGATGTCTAGCACTGGGGCATCATGCCACAGACATATAGCATGATGTCCCACCCAGTCACATTATCCTGACAACAGGCCAATAAAATGGTACAATTATTGCTAAAACCAACATACCAAAAAGCTGTAATAAAACTATAACAATGTGCACACTATTTCAGACATGAACTTAGCCATTGTATCAACTCATCTACAATACAAATGTAGTTTATACTCTAAACTGACATAGGTAATCTTTATTACTGGCTGTTCCTTCTCTATAAGGTAATCCTTATTACTGGCTGTTCCTTCTCTATAAGGCAATCCTTATTACTGGCTATTCCTTCTCCATAAGGTAATCCTTATTACTGGCTGTTCCTTCTCTATACAGGTAATCCTTATTACTGGCTGTTCCTTCTCTATACAGGTAATCCTTATTACTGGCTGTTCCTTCTCTATACAGGTAATTCTTATTACTGGCTGTTCCTTCTCTATACAGGTAATTCTTATTACTGGCTGTTCCTTCTCTATGCAGGTAATCCTTATTACTGGCTGTTCCTTCTCTATAAGGTAATTTTTATTACTGGCTGTTCCTTCTCTATACAGGTAATCCTTATTACTGGCTGTTCCTTCTCTATACAGGTAATCCTTATTACTATCTGTTCCTTCTCTATACAGGTAATCCTTATAACTGGCTGTTCCTTCTCTATACAGGTAATCCTTATAACTGGCTGCTCCTTCTCTATACAGTTAATTCTTATTATTGGCTGTTCCTTCTCTATACAGGTAATCCTTATTACTGGCTGTTCCTTCTCTATACAGGTAATCCTTATAACTGGCTGTTCCTTCTCTATACAGTTAATTCTTATTATTGGCCGTTTCTTCTCTATAAGGTAATCCTTATTACTGGCTGTTCCTTCTCTATACAGGTAATCCTTATTACTGGCTG